TAAGACCATCGGAAAACAAAAAGATATTTACATTACAATTCATAACAGTAGCAAAATTACAGTTATAGAGTAGCAACGAAAATAATTTTATGGTTGGGGATCACCACAACATGAGGAACTGTATTAAGGGGTCGCGGCATTAGGAAGGTTGAGAACCGCTGGTTTAAATGTTTAGCAGAATTTACCAGTGAAGACATCTGATCCTGGGCTTTTCTTTGTCAGGACGTTTTTGATACTGATTCTGTCTCCTTCCTTGTTATAAGGTCTGTTAAGATTTTGTTTCTTTTTGAGTTACTTTTGGAAGTTTGTGTGTTTGTAAAAACTTGTTTATTTCATCGAGGCTATCCAATTTGTTGGCATACTATTTTTCACAATATTCTCTTATAATCCTTTTTATTTCTGTATATTCAGTAGTAATGGGACCAACTTTTATTTCTGATTTTAGTAATTTGAATCCTTTTTTTTGGGTCAGTCTAGCTAACAGTTTGTTGATCTTTTCAAAGAACCAACTTTTAGTTTTATTTTTTTATATTTTTTTTTCTGTGCTCTGTTTTATAGTTTATCTCCACTCTGACTTTCCTCCTTTCTGCTAGCTTTGGGTTTAGTTTGCTCTCTTTTTTTTTTTTTTTTACTTCCTTAAGGTGTATAATTAGATGATTAATTTGAGATCTAAAATGTAGGCATTTACAGCTATAAATTCCCTCTTAGTACTGCTTTCAGTGCATCCTGTAAGTTCTGGTATATTGTGTTTTTTCATTCATCTCAAGGTATTTTCTAATTTCCCTTTTCATTTAAATCTGTACATTTAGATCAATATTGTTGTGTTATGTTGTTGACAGTGGTGTTTTAAAATGACTTTTCCAGCATTTTTATATGTTACATACTGAGAGAGGGTGTTTTGCATTACAGTTTTTAAATTCAGTGACTACTTTTTTTTCCCTAGAAGTTCAAGTGTTTGTTGTTGTTTTTTCAAGTCTCCCTGGTTGTATCTTATTCTTTTTCTTTATGCTTTTGATTCCTTTTATGTCTTTAATTGTTCTAAATGTACTGTCCCTACTTTGTAATAGTTCTATAATCTTGATATGTAATCCTTTGTTTGAGGTATCGTTTGATAGCACCCATGTTAAACTGTTTCAATGTATGCTTTATAATTTTAGGTTGTATGCTAATGTTTAGTGGGGCTTTAATTGTGGAAATCCATGAGGCCTGGGTTGAGGGCTTATGCTGGTGTACATTTCATCTGTCTACCTGAGTGAGAGGGACTTGTGTTTCAAATGATCATAGGAAGCTCTCCCACACCTCGCAAGCTAAAATGCAAGTTTCATGAAATCAGGGGTCTTTCTTTGGTTCACTTATGTCTCCGAAATAGTCTACTGTAGTGCATAACACATACTAGGTACCCTACCTATATTCATTGAACCAAATTTATCTTTCTTTGCTGGTGGGTGGATTAATTTTGATTAATCCACTGTCTCATTGAGGAAGCAGTGAGGCAGTGAAGGACTCCTGTAGATACTTTCTATGAGTAATGGCTGGGGTTTTCATTTGATTTTTTGCCTATTCATTCTAGTAACGTGACTGTGACCCCATGCTATACAAAAAGATAATTCTAGTCCTATTATGATGAGTGAGCATTAGCCTCCTTCCTGGGTCTTATTTTTGTTTCAGAGGCCTCATATTAGTTGAGTTAGGCTCTTTGAGCCATATTTTATTTGTTTTTCACTAATATTCAAATTTCTCTTTTTTGAAGGATGAAAAGATATGTCTTTTTTTTTTTAGATAAAAATCAGATTAAGCTTTGGAGGTTAAAAAAAAACACCACAGACCTTTTTAACGATATAGTTTAGTAGTGAGAATTTAGATAACCATGGAAGGATAGGTAGGTGAAAAGTAGAAAAAAAATAGCAAAGGGAAAACTTTTTTCTGTTTTTCTTCCCCAACATAAAGACATGTGGTACATTTTTCTGGTTAATACACTAACCATGCCAGGAAAAAATCCACCCCATATCAAGGGATAGTATAACTTAATGCTTAATTTATTTTTCATTTTCGTGTAATGCTAATTAAATTATTTTAAAATGAAATCCAAGTGCTATTATCTAGCAGTAATTGTGTTTATCTTTCAAGAATATTAAAGAAAAAATTTAACTTTGATGTCATAACATTACCAATAAATTTGTTAAACTTCTTATTCATTGGAATGATATAAATTAGATGGGAAATGGATGTGAGCAGAAATAAAATTGCCACCTTGAGTACATTGAAGTTATAAAGAGCTTGTTTTCAAAGGGATATACTAGACTCTATATTATCTTTTGTTGTTTGTTTTTTTTAGCTGAGCCATCCTGCCACCTGTTGGCAGCTCAGCTCGGGCTGGGCATCAAACCGCTGTTGCTCAGAGCTCGCACTCTTGAGCGAGCTCTTAACTAACTGAGCCACTCGGCCGGCCCTTATATTATCTTTATATGATCATGTTGAACTACTATCTATGGTGAATTATGGAAGAGTATGAGTCGACCCACCACTTGGTATTGAGGTGCTTAGTTCTGTTGTCAAAGATTTTTGCAAAAATGGAGGATAAAAATGGGGTCATGTGACATAATGATGACTAAAATGTTGCTTCTTTGTTTTGCAGTTCCAATTCCTGGTAGATTTGATCGGCGAGTGTCAGGTATGTGTTCTCTTTCATAACATACCGCTAAAATGCTATTTTAAGATAGGATATCTTAAATAAAAACAAACTGATCTTTTTAATAAAAAGAGAAGTTAACAGCATTCAGAACATAATAAAAATCGAATATGATTACTTCACTCTTGTTTCATTTTAAGTTCTGGGTATACATATATATATCTTTTTATATTGCTGTAATTAGTTTGTCTTACTTTGTCTCATTATTTTTTTCCATGTTCATAATTATGGCTTCTAAAAATTACTTTTAGGGCTGGCCAAGTGGCTCATTTGGTTAAGAGTTGGCTTAAGAGTGCAAGCTCTGAGCAACAGGGCTGCTGGTTTGATTCCCACATGGGCCAATGACGCTGCGCCCGAGCTGAGCTGCCAATAAGTGACAGGATGGCTCAGCTGGTGTAACAACAAGATTGTCTGTTCGATGGTGGGCTACGCCCTCCTGCAACTAAGACTGAACTTGGCATCTTGAACTGAGCTGCCTCCCAGATGGCTCAGTGGATAGGGCATGCGCTCTTAACAAGAAGGCTGGTGGGTTCGACTCCCGCATGGGATGGTGGCTATGCCCACCCGCAACTAAGATTGAACACAGCACCTTGAGCTTAGAGGCCACAAACTGCCCATGGGAAGCCAGATGGCGACTGGTGGCCTCCATAACGAAGATTGAAGAACAACAACTTGGCTGGGCCTCTTCCCCATTCCCCAACACTGTTCCCTCCCCCAATTCGCCAATAAAATCTTTAAAATAAAAATTACTTTTCATGTTACTATTACTGATTTTCTACATTATGCTGCCATTATCTTTTTGCATATTTTTTTTAAGATTTTTTTTTAAATTGGGGAATTGGGGGAGGGAACAGCGTTGGGGAATCGGGGAAGGGGAACAGACAAGTTGCTGTCCTTTTGCTCTTCCGTCTAGTTGTGGAAGATGTCGCTTCACTGGCCCACGTTGGTATTGTGATGATTGCGCTATTCCTGGCTGAGGCAGATCAGTCGCCAGCCATTGGATGGCGGCTCACGGCAGCTCACATTGGCTGCTGGTCACTCACGGTAGCTTACAGCAGCCCACTGCAGCCTACGCCGTCGCCGGCGACACACGGCAGCCCAGCTCCAGGTCGAGTTGTTGTTCACCATCTTAGCTGTAGAGGGTGCAGAGTCACTGGCCCATGTGGGATCCGAACCAGTTGTCCTGCTGCTCAGAGCTCGCACTCCCAAGCCAACTCTTAACCAACAAGCCACTTGGCCGGCCCACTTGCATACATTTTTGAGCCACTTAAATTATTTCCTCAGTTACAGCGTTGGGAGTGGCATTCCCTGGTTAGAGACTGAACATTGCATTGGCTTTTTCTGTGTATTGCTCTCTAGAGACAGTCTACAGAGTAGACTGCAGAAAGCAGGATATCCTGCAAACACCCCTTTTCCAAAACCATCTCACTAATATGTACGGTGCCTATTCCTTTAGTTTAGATGTAAAATAGTACCTCGGATTGTTTTATTTGGCATCCCTTTGATTATTAGCAAAAATTAATGTTTTCCAAACATGAGAAATCTGATTTTTTATTCTTGTATGGGACTAATTTGGTACTATTTTTCCCTTTTATCTGTTATGGTCTATATTATTTTTTATAAGTTTGAGTACATTTCTATCATGATTTTTAACCATTTGAATTTTTTTTTTTAAAGATTTTCTTGGGGAATTGGGGAAGGGGAACAGTGTTGGGGAAAGGGAACAGTCAAGCTGTTGTCCTTCAATCTTAGTTGTGGAGGGCGCAGCTAGCTCAGCTCCAAGTTCAGTCGCCATCCTGCTGCCCATCAACAGCTTGCGGCCACCCAGCTCAAGGTGCCATGTTCAATCTTAGTTGCAGGTGGGTATAGCCCACCATCCCATGCTGGAGTTGAACCTGCAACCTTGTAGTTAGGAGCACTCACTTGCTCTCACCAGATGAGCCATCCTGCCACCTGTTGGCAGCTCAGCGGCAACTCAGCTTGGGCCGGGAATAGAACCGCTGTTGCTCAGAGCTCGCACTCTTGAGCGAGCTCTTAACCAACTGAGCCACTTGGCAGGCCCTCCGTTTGAAATTTTTAATGCAAAGTTTTCCACATTGGTTGTACTATTTAAATTTTACTATTTTTTATTGATTCAAACTTTTGTTATGTAACTGGTATCTTGAACACTGCCTGGCACATAGCAGCCACTCAGCAAATATTTATTGAATATATACATCCTCTTCTTTTTTTTTTTCATGATTGCTCCTAAGCTGAGAAGGTCCCCTTTTTTCATAGAGCTGATAAATATATTTTGTAAAATATTTTCATAAAATTGTTTGAATTTTGGATACATCTAGAGTTTATTTGGTTGTACAGTTGGGATGTTAATGTGATTCAAAATTGCTATGCAAGCTGTAGGTGTCACAGTATTCTTTCATATCATCTTGTTCAGGGAAGGTTTCTTACCCTTCCATTTACCCTTTTCTATCCCTCAGTTCTTTTCTTTGACAAAAATATGCTTATTTATGTTTTCAGAAAGCCTTCAGTAAGGTTGTACACCAAAGTCTGTTGAAAGGAGATAGAAGAATGTGTTCTTAGGTATAAAGAGTCATTTTCAGAAAGGAAATAGAGTAAGGATTAAGGTTGACACAAGACCCATGAATGATTATCTCCCATCTCTGTTCATCCCTGCCTGCATCTCTTTTTTCCCAGAAGATTAGTAATATCCCTTGACATCTGCAGGACAGATCTGGGAGATGGAGAATACAGTAACAGCTCCAGAGGGCACAGATGGTGTTAGTTCATGAACTGCTGCTTGGGCTCTCTGTCAGTGTGGCTCAGTCCTTGAACTGTGGAGGACTCAGACAAGTACATGTTATTATTCCTCCCCCTTAGATTTTACAGCCTTACTGAAGATTTAAAACTTTTTAATATTATTCAAATGTTAAGTGAAAATAAAAGATTCTTAAAAGAATCCAAAATGATTATGCAGGAGGGAAAATAGTCTGTAGCGATAGCTAACCTACAGATGACGTGCTGGGTGCACAGTTTTAAAGTCTTGCTCAATGTCTTCCTTGTATTGTTGAACATAATTCTTACATTAACACTGTGAGGTACGTGATATAATCATCCCCATTGTACAGATGAGGAAACTGGAGCAAAACAGAGGTTAAGTAACTTGCAACAGTCAAAGTGATAATGTGCCCAAAGGTAGCATGAGTCCTAAGTACTACCCTTCCCATCTCTAAGGACCCTTTCTTGTACCTTCTGGAACTCTTCAGGTAAATCCTGTAAATTCTCAGTCTGTTCTCTGAGTGCACCCTTCATCTCCGTGCTCTAGCTGAAGCTTGGCTTCCCTGCAGGCTTCTCAAATGGTGGCTCTTTTCTCTTCCACCTTCCTTGTAACACAGACAGGAGATGGGTTAGTGTTTGTCTTGCTCCTCATTGCTGCTTCCAAACTATTCTATTTCCCTCATCCCTAAAATTCTCAGCTTCAAACATCACATTGTTATATCCTACCAGCCACTGCCCCTTTCTGTTTTAGTCATCTAATAATCTTCAGGATGTTCCTTGTTATTTCCACATAGATAATCTTTCAGTGTCTGCCCCTTCCTAAAATCCCCAGTGTTCCAAGGATCCTGTCTTCCACCCTATATTCCCATGGTTGTACTCTGGTATGACAGCCATTACAGTTCTTCATGCTCTGAATCAGTGCTTCCTGTGTGCACCGCTGCCTACTGTCTTCTCAGCTCCTACTCCAACCCCAGCAACTCATTGATCCTGCTTCCTTTTCACTGTTCATCAGTTCCTCTTTACCAGCGGTTCTCAACCTGTGGGTCGCGACCCCTTTGGGGGTCAAACGACCCTTTCACAGGGGTCGCCTAAGACCA